CTTAAAATCAGATTTTCATTGAGCAAGAAAGAAGAGAGAAACTTTCCACTTTCAGCAGATGAATGTGAAAACATCCTTCTAGTATCAGACTCTGCACAGTGAAGATCAAACATCACACTGTAAGAACAAGAAGAAAAACAGATATTTGACTGGAAGCGGGCTTTAACTTCTTAAAGGGAGGGAGCATGCATTTTCAACTGTCTGAAAGAAGAATTCCACCAAAACATTATGTCCTGATCACTGAGAGCGGTCCAGTGGCTCACAGCAGTCTATACTTTGACAACTTACAGAGGACATTTCTCTCAGCGAAGGCTTGAGGGGGCAGGTGGGGACGATGTGACTATAGACACTGGAAGCTGCAGCCAGACTTTTTTAGTGATCTTTAATTGGAAACTCACAGTGGGCGGCGTGATATAAATATATCTGTACGTATGATAACAGACTGTATATGTAGAGCCATTTGTTACAAACTGTTTTTAAGCTGTCAGCCCGAGTAAGGAGCAACAAAAAGCTCCAACAAAATAAGCTTTTTGTAAAAAGCTTTTGACAGATATTTGGTTATTTTTAGCTTCGGTCTTGTGTTGGTGTTGCACCCCTTGAGGTTAAACGCTGGTCTTCCTGCAGCCTTCGCTTCTTTTCTTCAGGCTGCATCATCTGTGAAATCAAAATGATTCTTATTTTGACTGGAGCGAGCACAGCTGTTGGAGCTCTGTTTCCTCAACAGTTCCACATCTGCAATTTTGAGAAGCTTCACACTGTGCACTGTAAAGGGAGGCAGCCATCTCTGTAATTTAGTTGAGGGACCTCCTTCAGTCAGTCCTGCAGCGCTCATGGGAAATGTCACCCAGGGACATGCAGAATAAATACATAGAAAAAGCCCATTTTCTTGCTACTGGACCACAGACATTGTACTATACTATCAGAAGTACACTGACAATTACACAGAGGAAATGATTCAACAAGCACCTCCATCTATTTTAATTTTCTGTAGAAATATCCTCAGACAAGTAGAAGAAATATAATGACATATGATGTATCCCTGTCCCTTTTATGTACAGTAAGACTAAAACAGGCCTGCAAATAGAAAAAGTGATACTTGTTCCTTTCAACATTCACACCTAATTAGCTTCCAAACGGCACATTTTAGTCCAGTGACGACAATAGGACTGTTTCCAGACAATATGCCAGCTAACTAGAGCCATATTTTCTTCACATTACACTGGCTGTAATGTTGTCCTGTATTCCCTAATGCTATCTTCCTAATTATGATTAGAGGAATGTGTCTTTTTCTCACATTAGCTTTGATTATTTTCTTTCTGTCCTTCTTTTCCCCCCAAAAAAAGAAGAACTCTGGTGATCTCACTTCCTAAATGTCGCGGCAGCATTGCGCAGCCTCAGAGTCTGAGGCTAGAGAGCATCATCGGCCAGAAGGCATGCAGACAGACAGACGAGCATGAGAGACAGACAGGTAATTAGTCTGGCAGGTGGACAGACAGGCAGTCGGGAAAAGAAGACAGGCCTCGTGGTCAAGAGGCGATGAATATGATATCCGTGAGAGGTCTTTAATCTCTGCTGACCACAAACCGACACACACACACACGGATGGACGTACACACACACACACGCCGACGCACACGGACATAGGTGTGTGGCGGCAGCTTGTTCCTGTCTGTCAGTCCAGTTAAACTCCAGTCAGGCCAGTGTCACCCTGAGAAACAATGAGCTCTGTTCCTCCTGTGTGCCTGTGACAACCTCAGACAGCTAACACACACACACACACACACACACACACACACACATTGAGGTCGGTGATGTGGTTGTAAGAAAGAGGGAGGAAAATGGAGATTTTAGTGTGTGACAACATCTAGGCCTACATTCGAGAGTGTATGACAGAGAGGGGGAGAGAGAGAGAGA